ATTGTTTGCACTACTGTTTTCTATAAAACAACTAATTTGTTTAGTGAAGCATTAGCAATGCAACTGATTTACAAGTTGGGAATCTCATGCTGTATTTGAGCTCAGTACTGTGTAAACATGAACAATGGAAGTAGAAATATAGAAGAAAACAATTCAAGGGCTTATGAAAAGAAGAAAAGCTACTATTGATGCTAGAGTATAACATGGGCATGGAATGAAATAGATATATCTAAAATTCAGAATGCTGGCCTATGAAATGTGTGGTGTATAAGTGAGGAGGAACAAGTAATACAGAAATGTACAAATAATGTTAGTAGAGAAGGCCAGTGAGGTATGAAGTTACTGAGTGAGTAAATAAAAATACTCTGATGATTTGCACCTGGAAAGGGAAAGCTTTTGGTAAGCTATGTACAACAGGTTTAGTGATGGGTACACAACTAACATTAAAAATGAAAGTGGAAAGTTGTCATGATGGCACTGTATAAGGGCTACAGAACAGACTTAATCATAAAAAGATGAGGGTTGCTTAGAAAATTTAGTTACAGCCACTTCCTTGGAGAGTAGTCCACAAGGTATGCAAGCCATTAAAAATAGAGATACAGTATTAATTTGTTTTTCAGGTTCCCTCTGGTCAAAAGTGAACTCATCCCAGGGTTTGTAAGTTTCTGCTTATTGGAATACAGCACTTTTCCACTTACACAGTGATTAAAATAGCTGAAGTGTTTTAAAATAGCCAGTCTTTTTAATCACACTACTGTCTTTTTCTTGAATAATTAAGTGGAGAAAGCATAATAAATTATCTTGAAAAACATCATGCATATGCTACAGCCTAAATAAATATTCTTGCAGTAATACCTGGTACTTACACTATTATATATACAACCTACTCAGACTAAAGACATCCATGCATTCAGATGCATGTGAAAATAGCAAAACAGATGATATTGAAAAAGCTCTACCACTAAATTTCATTAATCAATTACAAAATGCAGTACAGCAGGGCCCCACGTATATGGCAGGTTTGGTTCCAGGCTACCACCGAAAAGCAAAACGCCATTTTTTCCACTTATAAATGCATATAAATGCCAGATAAGTTTACACTAACATATATTAAGTTACTAGTAGAACTAGGCATTAAAAAACAATAAAAAGTAAAATACACACAGAGTACACTCATTACCTCAAAATATTTGTAGTCTTAATGTAGAGCAAGAGGTGAGTAGTATTTATTGTAAAATATTTGTAGTCTTAACGTAGGGCGAGAAGTGAGTAAACAATATAAGAAACGAATAGATGCGAGAGAGAACGAGTAAATGAGAGAGGACAGAGCTGCAGAGTATGTAAACAAACTGATGAATGCATCTGGTTTTGGTTTATACACATTTATTCCCATGTTTCCAGGTTGATAAAGTAGAATAAATAATGAACAACACTCTCATTCTCGTGTAACACACCATTTTTAGGATGAATAGTACTCTGAGTGAAAGCATATGAAAGCAATAATTTTCTACAGTTACCCCCAGTAATACTATTGTGTACACACTTTCCTTTGTGTTGAACTAGAGAAAACATTATTCTTTCCAACATTCTGACAAGACAACTGGAAAAACATCTCTTTTTTTTATTTTTTTTTAACATGTCGACCATCTCCCACCAAGGCAGGGTGACCCAAAAGAAAGAAAAAACTTTCATTATCAGTCAACACATTCACCATCACTCATACATAATCACTGTCTTTGCAGAGGCACCCAGATATGACAGTTTAGATAGTTACTCCAAACTGCCAATAACCCAAACCCCTCATTTAAAGTGCAGGCATTGTACCTCCCATTTCCAGGACTCAAGTCCGGCTAACTGGTTTCCTTGAAATCCTTCACAAAATATTACCCTGCTCACACTCCAACAGCTCATCAGGTCCCAAAAAAACATTCGTCTCCATTCACTCCTATCTTACATGCTCCAGCCCCTCACCCACAAAACCTCCTTTACCCACTCCCTCCAACCTTTTCGAGGACGACCCCTACCCCGCCTTCCTTCCCCAACAGATTTATACGTTCTCCATTTCATTCTACTTTGTTCCATTCTCTCTAAATGACCAAACCACCTCAACAACCCCTCTTTAGCCCTCTGGCTAGTACTTTTAGTAACTCCACACCTCCTAATTTCCACACTACAAATTCTCTGTATAATATTTACAACACACAATGCACTTAGACAGGACATCTCCACTGCCTTCAGCTGTCTCCTCATTGCAGTATTTACAACCCAAGCTTCACACCCATATAAGAGTGTTGGTACCACTATACTTTTGTACATTCCATTCTTTGCCTCCATGGGTAACATTTTTTGTCTCCACAGATACCTCAATGCACCACCCACCTTCTTTCTTTCATTCTTCTTCTCATATTTTTTTATTTTATTTTTTTTATTAACACATCGGCCGATCCCCACCAAGGCAGGGTGGCCCGAAAAAGAAAAACTTTCATTATCTTTCACTCCATCACTGTCTTGCCAGAGGGGTGCCTTACACTACAGTTTATAAAACTGCAACATTAACACCACTCCTTCAGAGTGCAGGCACTGTACTTCCCATCTCCAGGACTCAAGTCCGGCCTGCCGGTTTCCCTGAATCCCTTCATAAATGTTACTTTGCTCACACTCCAACACCACGTCAAGTATTAAAAACCATTTGTCTCCATTCACTCCTATCAAATACGCTCGCACATGCTTGCTGGAAGTCCAAGCCCCTCGCACACAAAGCCTCCTTTACCCCCTCCCTCCAACCTTTCCTAGGCTGACCCCCACCCCGCCTTCCCTCCACTACAGATTTATACACTCTTGAAGTCATTCTGTTTCATTCCATTCTCTCTACATGTCCGAACCACCTCAACAACCCTTCCTCAGCCCTTTGGAAAATAGTTTTGGCAATCCCGCACCTCCTCCAAACTTCGAAACTACAAATTCTCTGCATTATATTCACACCACACATTGCTTTCAGATATGACATCTCCACTGCCTCCAGCCTTCTCCTCGCTGCAACATTCATCACCCATGCTTCACACCCATATTAAAGCGTTGGTAAAACTAGTCTCATACATTCCCCTATTTGCTTCCAAGGACAAATTTCTTTGTCTCCACAGACTCCTAAGTGCACCGCTCACCCTTTTCCCCTCATCAATTCTATGATTCACCTCATCTTTCATAAACCCATCTGCTGGCACATCCACTCCCAAATATCTGAAAACATTCACCTCCTCCATACTCTCTCTCCATCCAATCTGATATCCAATCTTTCATCACCTAATCCTTTTATCCTCATAACCTTACTCTTTCCTATATTCACGTTTAATTTTCTTCTTTTACATACCCTACCAAATTCATCCACCAACCTCTGCAACCTCTCTTCAGAATCTCCCAAGAGCACAGTGTCATCAGCAAAAAGCAACTGTGACAACTCCCACTTCTAACTCCACACCTCTTGCCAAGACCTTCGCATACACTTCTCTTACAACCCCATCTATAAATATATTGAACAACCACGGTGACATCACACATCCTTGTCTAAGGCATACTTTTACTGGGAAATGATCTCCCTCTTTCCTACATACTCTAACTCATATTTAAGTTAATTTATTCTACTCTGGGTAAATTTATCATGTTTATGTGTGACCTATCATGTTTATTATAAAATTCTGAAAAAATCTTACAGATGAATTAATGAAAATGTTCATATTAATGTAATACACAACATTTAATGCACCTCAGAGTGATTATTATTGTGTTATCATTATTAATATGGTATCTTCAAGACTAATAAGACACCCTTAGTTATTTAATGTGTACCTGCACACCAGCACAGTATGTAAGTTTATTTAGATACAGGTACATATAAGTAAAATTATCAGAGTATATAAAATATGAAATAACTTTAAAACATTTGAAATTTTGAAAAGTTTCTAGAAATAATGGAGAGTCGTGCTTGCGAAGACTGCAGACAAACTGGGTGGGGCACGGTGATCGTATTAGAAAGACAGGTGGGGGGCTGTATAGCGAGTTTTGGTCATAATTTGAAATGTCTGTATTAGCGGAACGCCATAAGGCAAAACGCTGTAAAGCGGGGCCCTACTGTACCTTGGAAAAAAATTTCCTGGAAATAATTTTGTTTGGTGTCTTGAATGTCATAAATGGAATAATGTATTTTCAAAGAACAAAAGCTTGATCAATTTTGATTAGATGATACAGTCCTGTCATCAATGCCAAAATCTTAAAAGCAAATATTTGGATGCATCTTTAATTACATAAAATACAAAAAGCAGTGCTTTATTTAACTGCCTAATAATACTTGATATAGAGAATATAAAAAAATGTTTCTTTACCATAAACAATTTTTTATTTAGCTTAGACTGAGAAAATATTAAGTGTTAAAGAACTGGGTAATCTCTTGTATGTGTGCATATTTGTGGTTTGACTTAAAAGTACTGTACAAGTGAATGAATATGAGATTTTATTTTGCAAATTATGTTTGTTTTACATAGTGCCTAATTTTTACATACACTGTAACTGGATTATTAAGTGTTCTATACACTCAGTGATGGCTCTGTCATAGCTGCTGAACCATATTTTGTGTACTCAAGACTACATAAACAAAGCTAGTTAATCTATCACAACAAAATCTATAACATAATGGTTCACACAGAAAATACCTCACCGAAATTTCAATTATCATAAATGTTGAATGAGAAAGCACATTAAAGATTACACCATACACAGTGGACCCTCGAGTTTAGAACTGCTCTCAACACAACCAATTATGTAAGTGTATTTTTGTAAGTGCTTTGGTAAGCGTATTTTTGGGGGTCTGAAACAGATTAATCTAATTTACATTATTTCTGATGAGAAGAAATTCGTTCGGTAACAGCACTTGAATAGCAGTCTGGAATGAAATAAGTTCTAAACTCAAGGGTCCACTGCACTATTATACATTGCTAAATAATTATTACATTAAAAACACATTGATCTGATGCCACTGCTACTCATCAGAGAAACTGACGAGACCCACTGACTTGTATATAGCGGTGATGAAGATCAGAAAGCAGTGAGCACTGCCACTCTTCAGCTATCACAGAGGAGCTGTAAAATTATTAGCATCCAGGGCTTTCAGGTAACTGTAACAAAGTTATAAATGAAAATTAGAAACAATAAAGATTATAATACTACAAGATTATTGCATGGGTTAAAGCAAGGATTTAAATGTTGAAGTAAGAAAAAGGCTAGAAACAGTGGAGATATGTTAGAGGGCAATATGTCCTGAGAATATTATGCAGAGAATTCAGAGCATTGGAGACTGGAAGGTGTGGGGGTTACTGTAAGTATAATTCAGAGGCTTGGGCATTTAAAGGACAGAGTAAAATGGGAAAACTATGAGGGTACATAAGTTGGGTGGACGGAAGGAGAGGCAGGGGTTGACCCAAAAAGGGTTGGAGGTAGAAGACATAAGAGGTTTTGAGCACTGTGGGCCTGAGCATCCACCAGGCTTGTGTGAGCACGTTGGATATGCCACTGTGTACGAGCATGCTTAATGTGCTGTTGGACTGTGAGTAAGGTAATGTTTATGAAGGGATTCAGGGAAACTGGTTAGCTAGACTTGAGTCCTGGAGGTGGGAAGTACAGTGCCTGCACTCTAAAGATATTACAGTTCAGAGGGCCATCTGCAATGTGATGCCTGCAGACTTCTGGTACACCAGCAATTGAATGAAAGACATTTCCTCTTGTTTGTGTGTCATCCTTCTTCAGTGGGAGATGGCTAATGTGTTAAAAGAAATTACTGTAAAATGTATGATCTTGTCCTAGTATAAGAATATTTAAATGAAATATGGCAGGAAAGGCATTAATTAATTAAGAGCATTCCACTTCAATAAACTGAATGTGAACAAGATTACCAGACCTCCTTACTTGGAAAGTGTTTGTAGGACATCAAGCAGATACACATACATAAGAGCTAATTCAAATCAAACTGAAATTCATGAATGAGCTCAGGAGTTAAACCAGCTCTCCTGCAAATTCACGTAGGCAGAGTAAGTAAAAACAAGTAACTTTCCATACAGATGTAAAGATCGATGCATTTACTGATAAATAAGCTTCCATTCTATCAAATGATACTAAGAAACAGCCAAACCACATCATCCTAAAAAACACCTCAGAGTAGCTGTTTTAACCTCTTAACCCTTTCAGGGTCAAGAGGCCCTCTCCTAAACTCATTCTCAGGGTCAAAAATTTTGCAGAAAAAAAAAATTATTTTTTTCTTATGAAATGATAGAGAATCTTTTCCAGATCATAATGACACCAAAAGTATGAAATTTGATGGAAAACTTATGTAATTATGCTCTCGTGAAGTTAGCAGTCTCGACGATGCTTACGCATCGGCTATTTCGCCCACTTTGAGCCCTATTTTCGGCCAATTCCAGTGTACTAGTCGACAAAAATCGTATCTATTTTGCAAACTCCATTTTTTTCTATTGAATGAGTACAAGAAACCACCCATTTACCAACTTCAACTATCCAATAAAGTGGTCAGAAATTGGCAATTTTGCCAATTTCACACAAATTTCAGAAGATGCCAATTTCCAAATAGGGTCCAGAATAAACAAGACAGATATTCCTGGCACTAAAATAACATTTTCTCTGTTCATTAGTCACGTCCCCAGGCTCCTCTTACATCTCTTTTGCTTTCCACTTTGAATTTTTATTCTCACAAAAAATAGAAGATTTACTGTTATGCAGACTACTGCATTAGTGTAGAAATGGTATAAATAATATCAGCGTACTCGTGAAAGAATATTAGACCTGCCAGATGACGTGTATTGGATGCTTGGAATGATTTGTTTACCTTTGAACTTTGGTAAAAATCAAACATTTCTGCTACTTTGAGCTCAATTTCAAGGTACTTTTCATTATGAAACCATTCAAAATCATCTCAATTTCTGTAATATGTCTTCCATTCTATAAAATGAGACCAGGAAAACTAAAATACAACCATAAATACCATGCGAAAATACAGTGCAAAGTCGCTGTTTTAAACCAAAAACATGGTCAGAGTTTTCTTTTTTTTTTCTCATTATGCACTGTGTACTGCAGAATTTTTTTTATACTATGCACACTGATTACATAGACCCATTCTTTCATATGTAGGCCTACTAGCTTTCTCTCACTAGATTTGAAGACGCTAGAATTTAGGTGTACTAGTACGTCAATAACCCTGGTGCGCAAGCCGTACTAGTATGTTGGAAACCCTGAAAAGGTTAACTATCCAAACTTAGATCTACGTTCTCTTGCCCAGTGCTCCGAATATTTACAGAGGGCAATTTTCTGCATAATAAAACCCAAAAAAAAAAATTAGGGTCAGTTCTTACCGAGACATAAGACCGCAAAGTTGGCGCTGGATGCTCACCTGACGGCAATATGGAGACCTGCCACATGCAGAAGTATTGCCAATATACATTTTAGTAGTTCTTGTGATTTCATAGCCAATGTTTGGGCTGACACTAATATTAGGTACTGAAATAGTACTCAAATAGTCACAAACACACTGACAAGTGAACATTTTCATCTGCCTTGGTCACTTACTATTGTCAAGAAATATATACAAAGTATTTATAGGTCCCAGCAATGTTTAAGACATGCTGGAGTATATATGAAACTCCTTGAAGCATAGTGTAAGACTGAGTGTCACTCCACTGCTGACAGTGCAACAGTGACATCTGCTGATCATGCACTGCCTTGACTGTTTGTTCTCACTGTTACATATAAACATGTCTATCTGTTTGTCTATCTGTCTCTCTATTTGTCTGTGTCTGTCTGTCTGTCTAGCTCTGTCTCTGCTTATCTGTCTGCCTGTGTGTGTGTGTCTTCCTGTCTCTCTTTCTGTCTCAGAGAGCCACTCATGAACTAACAGGTATTACACACGATGCAGAGTTGTCACGTCTGATTCCTGAACAAGTGAAAATGCGCATTACCTGCCAGTCATGCTTATTATGCCTTATATCTAAAAGCACTGTATAGCACTTTGTCTGGATTTTTTTGAGTTATCCTAGGTAATTTACAGTATGTATGATAACTATTTATGTGTACCTGTGAGATAGAGACAGACAGAGATAGATACAGACAGATGGAGAGAGAGATAGCCAAAGTCAATCAGCCAGCCGCCGGCCAGCCAGCCACCCGGCAAGCCAAACATGTATTACATGTTCCGGAATTGTTTCTCTTTACTTAGGGCATAAGTTATAGGACATTCTGGCAGGATGACACTACCAGTGGTATCAAAATAAAAAGGATGTTGCACAAATGTTGCACACTGGTTATTATCGAGGCTTTTGATATTTCCTCGACCACTTGTGGCCACATCCAACTCAAAGTCACTAAACTTGGGGTCAACATCACTTTCCTCTTAAAAGGGAAGTGTTAATAAGACATGACATAGTGGTACACTTGAGGCATATAGCCTGAGCACAGTCGTGGAACCACCAAGGGATATGCTTGGGAATATCCATGAGGCCCAAGGAATGGTAACACTGGCAACAGAGATGGGAAGAGACAAAATAAATAATTACTAACTAATGGGAAAGGAGTCATAAGTAGTAGGATGTTGTATATAAAGCATCATAATCTATATGTTCAAATTGCCATTCACAACACAGATGGGGAGACATATAGAAGGAAGTGTTAATGACAATGAAAAAGTGATCACTATTGTAGAGAACATCTGTGACTACCCAATCAAAATTTAGGGCTATAAGTGATAAGCAGCAAGAAAGTCCAAAGATCAACAAAGGTGTGTGCAGTGGGGCAAAAAAGGCCTCCAATAATTCCCCACAATAGTCACCATGAGACTGATCAAAAGAAAATGACAATCATATCACAGCAAGGGCAATACTAGAAGGAAGGAAACCAAACTCTGGAAATCAACTACTAATAGCAAATAGAGAAGTAAAATAAATGGAACAAACTGTGCATCACTTTTCTAGATATGCTGAATGGGATATGAAATACAACAGTTAGGGTAAAGATTAAAGTGTATGGTTTATACAAGCTTGCGATAACTGTGATACTTGCCTTGGGTTGAATTCCTCGACACGACCCCTTAGGATATTTGGGCCAAGGTATTGTGAAAGCTGTGTCAAACATTGGCTTGCAGCAGATGATGTTAGAGCATTTTCACATTCCTGAAATTAAAACATATTTCAGTCAAGCAAAAACTTAAACCTTAAAAGTCTTACAATGTCAGGGGAATTGATAATAATACAATTTTACTGCATAAACAAAAGGCAGGGTCTAGCATACCTACGGAATGAAGAAACACGGACATGGGATAATTTTGGAAAATTCAAGTAGCTGTGTGATACTGAGGGTCAGATAAAGGGAAGGGGGTGCATATGTGCATGCATGCATACATGTGTATGTTTGCGTGCATACATATATGTCACCAATTTATAATGTACAGTATATTCCAAGTACAACAGTGTTGAGTTATATATTTCCCCATTCTTGAAGTATTAAAAATGACTTGAAACATGTCTAACACCATAAGAAAATAGTGTACATAGTGTTAAAATCAATAAAAATATTGAAAAATGACAATCGGCATCAATAAATTATAAAATGTAAATATCACTGACCCATTTATGCCAGCTATAAATTTTTGCCAACTTCAACACACCATAAAATTATAAGTTTTCATTCAATTATGTTCCTTTTTGTTTTATTCTACTTTGAACATATGACCTTCAAACTGTAGGATTTTTTTTTTTTAAATTTTCTTCCTTCTCCCCACACACAAACAGGAAATTATATTTCTGGGTATGCCACAGTTTAAGGATTAACAGGCATAGCAGGGCCTAACAGAATTTTTTACAAATAACCTGCTACTATAATAAAAAAATCATTACTGATACAGCTGATGATAAATAATAATTAAAACATTATTAAATGATTATAAAAATGCTAAAAATATTCAACAATTATGTCAAATATACATTACTTTTTTTTAACGAGTCACCCATTTCCCACCAAGGCAGGATGACCCAAAAAGAAAGAAAAACCCAAAAGAAAGAAAAAACTTTCATCATTCAACACTTTCACCATCATTCATACATAATTACTGTTTTT